GCTGGTCGGGGTCGGCGCCGACGCAGCGAGCGGAGTGTCCGTGTCTCCCACAGTCGGTGTTCACGCTGGGGGCGGCCGCGGGAGGACTCAGCGCCATGGTCCTCAACGACCGCCTGGGCCGCAAGCTCAGCATCATGTTCTCGGCCGTGCCGTCCGCCGTGGGCTACGCGCTCATGGGCAGCGCCCAGGCCGTCTGGATGCTGCTGCTGGGGCGAGTGCTCACAGGCTTCGCCGGCGGCGTGACCTCCGCGTCCATCCCGGTAACGAGGTGCCCAGGGCTTTGCGGGGGGTGGGACGAGGTGGCACCAGAGCCTCCAGCCCTCCAGGAGGCATCAGCAGAGCTTCGGGGCTGGAGCTGTGCTATGGGGTTGGGAAGGTGCCCCGTGCCAGGCAGAGGGTGAGAGGGCAGCGGTGGCGCCGGGCTCGTTCCCCGCTCTGCAAAATGTGGAAGGCAGGTCCTGGTTCCCGGCCCCGTTCCTCCTCATAGTGGTTTCCTTCTTAAGCGTTGACCTCGCGTTGCAGGCAGAGGGGAAGGAGTGAATTGAGCAACGTCCTTCCCGTAAGCGGAGTCCGAAGGTGCCACTGGAGAGCTCCGAGTGTTGCACCATGAAGGGGTTCGGCAGGGAAGCCAAGACAACCTGGTGCCACCAGCTTGGGTTGACCCATTGGGCTTGGAGCAGGAGGGCTGGAGTCCCTGTGTTGACCCTTTGGGCTTGGAGACACCATGAGCTTGGGTCTCCCGGAGGTGGCGGAGCTGAAGGCCACGGCCGGCGGTGGCCGCGGTTGCAGCTCGGCTGAGCGGGCGCTGTCCTCGTGCAGGTCTACATCTCGGAGATCTCCCACCCCGGCGTGCGGGGCCTGCTGGGCGCCTGCCCGCAGCTCATGGCCGTGCTGGGCTCCCTCGTCCTCTATGCGCTGGGCAAGTATCTCCGTGGCGGAGGGGAGGAAGCCGCGTTGGGGGAAGAGGAAGGGGTTTTACCAACCTTCTCAGCAAGGCAATCGTGGGTGTGAGAGCATAAGAAATCATCCTCCAAGGCTGGTCCGGGCAGGATCGCCGATGCATGAGCCACGTGCGCACATGCCTGGAATGGGGAACTCATAACTCACAGGGACTTGTGGCCATCCCTGTGCCCAGGGCCTCGCTCTCACCCTCGCTGAGGTGGCACACGATGACCATTTGCACATCAACTCTCTTCTGGCCGCTGCAGGAGACGTGGCTCTAGCTGGATCCTCTATGACTTGGGGTCTCCTCTAAGTTTCCCACTTTTCATAGCAGCTGAAAATGCTCCTTTTTCTGAAGGGGGAAAAGAATATATTTCTCCCCAGCTTCATTAGATCTCTGCTGTTGGGGTGAGCACCTCGAGGCAAGGCGGAGAAATCCCTTCCCAAATGCTCTCCCGTCCTAACCTGGTGCCGGCTCCCACAGGTCTGGTGCTGGACTGGCGCTGGCTGGCGGTGGCCGGGGAAGTGCCGGTGCTGGCCATGATCCTCCTGCTCTGCTTCATGCCCAACTCGCCCCGGTTTCTGCTCTCCCAGGGGAAGGAAGATGAAGCCCTGGGGTCGCTGTGCTGGCTCCGGGGCAAGGACACGGATTATGCCCAGGAGTACGAGCAGATTAAGGACAGCGTGAGGAAGCAGGTGAGGAGAGGAAGGGGCTCACCTCCAGCATGCGGGAGAAGTTACAGTTTTCCTATTAAGTCCTGTAAAACTGTAGAAACCTCAACTCTCTGTCTTTGTCCCCTCTAGAGCAGGCGGATCTCCTGTGCGGAGATCAAGGACCCTTTCATTTACAAGCCCATCCTGATCGCCGTGCTCATGAGGTTCCTGCAGCAGCTCTCTGGAGTCACCTGTGTCCTCGTGTACCTGCAGTCAATATTCAAGAAAACCTCTGTCATTCTGGTGAGCGCTGGGGTTCGGTCCGTGCACAGACTGTCCCATCATCAGTGATTCCTGCCAGTTCACCCAGGGCTCTGAGACTTGAAGTCACTTTGAAGCCCCCTTTAAAGCACCTGGTTGGCAGCAAGTAGCAAGAACGCAGTCCCCAAAAAGCAGCACAATGCCCGGGTGCAGGATGAACCCCTTAGCTTCAGTTATCTACCCTCTGAGCTGCAGGCTGCTTTCGTCTGGACTCTTGCAGTTGAAGGAAGGACCTCTGTGTTTAGCTATGATAAAGCCACTGGCCAGAGTTAGCCTGGAGGAACCTGCTGGTCCCCTGGATCAGCTGGGATGGGAATCCCAGCTTCCCCACTGATTTTGCCATTGCAGAAACCAGAGTACGATGCAGCTCTTGTCGGGCTGGTTCGCCTTGTCTCGGTAGCGATTGCTGCTGCGTCGATGGATAAAGCTGGGAGGAAGATTCTGCTCTTTGTGTCTGGTACGTGTCTCTGCATTGATGTGTGAGGGCACCTCTCCTTTTAGGATGTCCAAGGGCTGTGCAGACTGGCAGCACTGGTGACTTCAACCATGCAGGACTCTGATGGTGGCTCAGCTCTTGGGCAGAAGCATTTCCATGAGCTTTGCCATTGCACAGGGGTGGGAATCACATTCCCATCAGTCCCACCATGCTGTTGTATCTCCCCACAGCTGGTATCATGCTGGCCTCAAACCTGACCATGGGGCTCTATGTCCACTTCACGCCGCCTTCTCTTAATGGCACCACGGCCAATGAGACCTTGGTGAGCTGGGCCAGCCACGAAGCTCAGCCGATGAACTACATCACCCTCATCCCTCTCCTGGCTACCATGTTCTTCATAATGGGTAGGTGCAGAGATGGAGAGCCGGACACCCACCGCCTAGGATGTTTCTGGTCCAGGGCAGCGTGGTACGGGGTGAGGAGGTTTGGGATCAGTGTTCCAAGGAAGATAATCTCCCTGGGAGTTTCTTTCTTCAGAGGACCTTGGGTGCCCTTCTGAACAGTGGTGCTGACAGACACAAACACGGGAAAATCATGCAGGGACCAGAGCAGGACTGTGCAGGACTCCTCTGTATCCTCTAACGTGTTTCAAAGCCCAACCAGCCTCACTCTAGCCCTGCTCCCCTCCAGGCTATGCCATGGGCTGGGGTCCCATCACCTGGTTGCTGATGTCGGAGATCCTCCCTCTGAAAGCCCGCGGGGTGGCCTCGGGCCTCTGCGTGCTCGTGAGCTGGCTGACTGCCTTCGTGCTGACCCGCTTCTTCCTCCCGGTCGTGGTGCGTATGCGCCGAGGGGGACGTCTGCGCGGGCCCCACCAAGGCCTCGCTGCCGCAGCTCACGTCTGCCTTCTGTCCCGCCTTCCAGGAAACCTTCGGCCTAGAGGTGCCATTCCTGTTCTTCGCTGTCATCTGCGCTGGGAACTTCCTATTTACAGGCTGCTGTGTCCCAGAAACCAAAGGCAGATCCCTGGAGCAGATCGAGTCCTACTTCCGCACCGGCAGGAGGTCGTTCATGAGGTAGGAGCTGCTGCCTGCCCGATGCACCAGGTCACCAGCCCGCTGGCTTAAGGGAGAGAAATCTTTGGGCTGCTAGAGCTGGAAGCTGGAGTTCTCTATGAAGAACACGCTCCCTCCAAGGGGAGAGGAGCAGGTGGCAATGACTGCCTTGCTTTGGGTATAGAAATTCCCCTCTGGAACATTACCTTCTCTTCCTGAGTCATTCAACACTATCTAAGGACCCATGGCTCTGCGGGCAGCATATCAACGTGAGGTACAGGACCAGGTCCAACACTAGGCTGGAAACAAATACGTTTTAGCACGAAAACATGTGGCTGTGGACAAGAGCCCTTGTACTTCCCCTGCCCAGTGGCCACCAAGGCAGTTCAAGAGCCTCAGGGCTTGGTCGAGGCAGAGTTAATGGCTGTAGCCACCATTTTGGCAGAGTTGCAGAAATAAAATTGTTTGCTTCCATGTGGATGTTGCCTTGATTTGCAGAGAGGGGAGCTGCAGGCAGGTGGGATGAGACAGGGTAGATGAGGACGGTGACTCGGAGACCAGAGACCTGCTGATGCGTTCCCAGATGAGTCTTATGGACCTGAGGACTTCAAAAGAGGCAGAGCCAGATACTTCATATAAAAAGCTGCCACCTTTTATTACTCTAAAAACACACTTTATACTAGAAGCCTAATGAACAAGACCAAATACAGTCCACAAATAAATCTTACATCAGAACAAAGAATGAGAACAGACATTCAGCTGTAGTGCAAGTGATTCACCCTTGGAAAGAGGGTAAAATCCCATTCCATACTGAGGCGGATCCTTCCCTCCCCAGGGTTTTACTCTCTCAGAGTGAGGGCGGATGCCTCCACCACCGTTGCGTATAGATCCTCCACCACTTGGAGATTTTGCCTGCATAGACAGTAGCAAATTGCTTTTACCCCTTTTCCTGTATGTCCTTCAACACTAAAGTCTTTTCTTAGGGTCATAACCTAGGTGAAACGCAGCTGCAGAGGGTGACACCCTGGGGAGCTGAGGCCTGTGTCCTCCCAGGCCAGGCACACATCGATCTGCTGTGACAAGGAAGCTCAGGGTAACGTAACTTGGGCGAAATCTCAGGAAAAACTAAGCACTATTTAAATCCTCTGCCACAGAACAAGAAAGGAATCACCTAAGAGGTGCCATATCAGAGGACTCAGTTAAAGCAGCCAAGGACAGAGGAGGAGAGATGGGCCCAAACCACAGAGAAACTTCAGCACTAGGCCCAACTTTTGCAGCTGAGCTCCATTTCTAGCAAGAAGTCCAGGCCTGGCTAGAATGTGACTGTTTAAGTATGACCTGATCCAAGAGATCTTGACCTCTTATGATTCCCACTGGCCTCCAGAAGATCAGGATCTCCAGCAGCCCTGTCCTAGAGTGTTCCCCATCTCTCATGGCTACAGAACAGGTCTTGAAATCTTCACTCAAGTGAAGCCTTTCCCTGAAGACAAAAGACATTTTCCCTGAGGAAAAAAACATAGAATCATAACATAACAATGAATTGAGCTTCCCAGGGCTTGGTTTATAGAGGAAAAGCCTGAGTATGAAACGAGTTTGGACTCTATAGGTCCTACAGGAACCTCATTGGAAAAGTATTCTCTGAGTGACCTCCTTCCTTTCATGCAGAAAGTCTAAGGGCTTTCGCTGCAACACTTGAAGTCTGAGAAATCACAGTGGCTCTTTCCAGAGGTAGAATGGTCTTTTTATTCACTGCAAACACAGAGAGTCAACTGGTGTTACAACATCAGCTCCTGCCTAGGGCAGCAAGGCCTGGGCACGCAGGATAAGGTGAACTGGTGTCTTCTCTTCACACCCCCAGGAGAGCCCCGGGGGAAGCAGGACCCACACACGCAAGGGTCATCATTTTCATGATGAAATGGGACACAGAAGGTTTCTATGCCCTGTAAAAGCACTTAGGGAAGAGAGGTGCACAGCTCGCGTGGTAGGGCTCAGCTCTAAGCAAGCGCCTATTTGCAGCCAGCACGCAGGTGTGTCTGCACGTTTCATGTCAACAGCTCAACCGCAGGCAACGCATCACCCGCTCCAAGTTCTCACATAGCAAAACTCCTGCCCCGCTCTCCCAAGAGGCCTTCCCACAACATGGCGAGCAGAGCCTCTCCTGTACAGACCCCCTTGATCGGCCCTGACACCATCAGCTGGGACTGGGTTGAGACTCAAATCACTCAAGCAGGGCTTATAACTTCATTTACTCCTGTAAACCTCCAAGCACCACAAGGTGCTTAAAACAATCACTAACCACCATGCACTGGGAATGGGCCTATTCGCTACTGTGCTATTACTACTCTAAAAAGCCTTATCTCTCTCCACAAAAATCTCATGTCCACGCTGGGCTGAGACCATTCATTATCTATCACGTGGATGCTGAATGCTTCGCTAGGAGGACGCATCCTTCACCAGGCCATGGAGCAGAGCCGACCCGTCCGTGCTGGAAGGGGACCAGGAGCATCCTGCTGCCACAGAGCAGGAGCAATGGGATGAAGCCAGCGCGGGTCCTGCCCGTCGCTGTGGTTCCTCCCTGCAGGTGCAGATCGAGGGTTACTCTGTTGCCTCTGCTTTGCCCTTCAGCTCCTTCCACTAAAGCTACCGCGGAACTACTCGCCGCGCAAAGCGACCACTACCAAAGACATGCATGCGCGTCAGTCTGTGACATTCCTCTACTAAACACTACTAAAACCCCTAAACCCCCTCGAAATCAATGCAGGTGGCCTGCTCACTAGGCAGGACTTTGCAATTTACCCATCCAGTAAAGATACTGCCTGGGGCTGTTGCCCACCCGGGCATCACCACAGGCCTTTCTCAGGGGTGTCCCGTGGAGGGCAGCGTATTCCTCCCACACCACCTGATTCCCACAGGAAGCATCCGAGATGCTTCAGGCCATGGTCCCCGTGCACACAAGGCCGATGTCCCGTGTCCTCCATGCAGCAACATGGATCAGCCCAGGGATGGTGGCTCAGAAACAGCAGAGCCTCGATTCAAACAAGCTGCATCTGGACTGAAGGTGCCTATTCCACATCCCAGGCAAACTGGTGTAGGAGCAGCTACAGCCCAGAGGTCCGGGGAAAAAGGGGTTTAGCACAAAGTGGCTCCCCAGCAACGAGCTGCAAGGGTTTGTACACGTACATGAACCCAAGCCACGCTCCTGAGCGGGGCAAATCTTCACACCTCCCTGACCTCCACCAAAGAAACAACATCTAACACTTCCCAGCACTGCCGGGGCTGCTTTGGTGCCGTTCAACTAATGCAGATATGTTTAGGACACATATAGACAGTGTCCAACGCAACACCATATCCACTAACTGCCCTAACTGCTTGAGTGGGCACAAATCCTCACATCCAGGAGCTACCTCCTGCATTTTCCTCTCCCCTGGAAGAAGGGAAAACAAACTTCGGTCAAGTCAGCAGCCCAGAAGAAGAGAGAGGGAAGTTAAAAAGGGAAACGGGCTTTCCAAAAGTCTAGGAAAGGCTCTCAAGGCTGAACTAGGTTTCTACAGTAGCTCAGTCAGAGCAGCCAGGGACCTCCCTGGGTCTGTAGAGAGACCCCCAAGCTAAATGAGACATTCCTCTGAACTACAGGAACAGCTCTCCTTCGCTAGGTCCGGAGAGAATGAATCCCACCAAAGCATTTAAATAACTAGAAATAAATTATTCTTCCTTTTCTGATGGAAAAGGACAGATAGAGCCTGGATGAAGCAGCAAGGTGTCCTGGGCTGTACCATTCCAGCATGGGTGGCACGTTACCCATTGCTCTGTGTCTGCAAGGGAAGGATGGGCCACCCGCCCACCGAAAGCTTGCCCAGGATTAATGAAAACAACACGAGCCCGAAGAAAAAGACTGAATCTGAGAATCTAAGAGCAAGTCCCACACACTACAGGACATATGCAGGGGCAGGAGAACGTTACTATCCCTCTTCAAGCAAACCTCACTTCCCTTCTCCCCCAGTAAGAGGGTGAAGCATGAGAAAAGTATTATTATTAAGACAAAGTAATTCATAAATTTCAAGTAAATTGCAGCAACTGCCTGCAGCTGTAGGCAGGAGGGAATGTGCTTTATAGGTACCAAGATCTGCCACAAAACTCCTCAGCTCTTCCACAGAGCTGGTTATTGTCCTTGTGTGGGATTTTTTGCTCGAAGTCCCATACTGTGCAGTGATGCCTCCAAGGCCTGACCTAACTGGACCCATATTAAAACCCACTCAGTGAAAGAAGACCAAGTTTAAGCATTACCAAGCATTGCTAAACTCCAGATTAGAGTATCACACCCTCTGCAAACCGTAGTGCCGTGCTAAGGAAAGGCTGTACATTTAGCTGTTAAAACAGCACTCAAAGGGGCCAGCACCTCTGCAAAAAATAAATAAGTAAATAAATAAAAGAAAGGAGCTGTGAGATAGTGATTTGGGTCAGGGCCAAGCCTTGGGGTGGGTGAGGAGGAGGAGAGGGCCAGGCACGAAGGCCTGACTGCTGGTGTGAGCGGGGGGCACAACCTGCCCCAGCCCTGAGATTTCCAGTTGCTGTGGAGTCCTTGGAAAAATCGGAGAGTAACGGCATGGAAGGGAGGGCAGAGCGGGTTTCCACATCTTCCCAGGGCATCCGAGGGAAGCTGCCTTGAGCCGGAGCGCTTCAGAGAGCCTGTCCCTCCAGGGCGCCCGCGAGCTTCTCCTCATCCATCTGCTTCTGCTGCTGGATGCGTGCGTAGGAAATGGCGTCTCCCCTGTGGAGCAAAGGGAATAGCCTGAGCTCCGCGCGCCCAGCCCGGCCACGCCGGCGGGCGACCCCTCTCTTACTTTTTGCCGAGGGCCGAGAGGCCGTAAAGGACCCCGGTGGCGAAGGCGATGGCGTTGCCGAAGAGCGTGGTGAGCGTCAGGCTGAGCATGACGGGGACGGCGGCCATCCTGCAAGGGAGACGTGGCGCTGAGCGCCGCTCGCGCTGTTTTTTGAAGAAAGCTGCTTTCTGCCAGGGCCGCAGCCGGTCCGCCCTCGCGGCCGCCGCGTTGGCGAATTCGATGAACTGGCAGCAGAACGGGGCCTCGCACAGGAAGAGCACGAAGGCGTTGAGCCTGCGGGGAGCGAGCGTGAGGCACGGCCGCCATCGCCCCCTGCTCACACACCCGAGCCGTGCGGCTCCCCTCGTCCTGCCCATTCCCTAACTCATAATTTGGGGTTTTTTGGATGTTTTGGGTTGGGGCATCCCAGCATTTGCTTGAAAAGGGTGTGGAAATGGCTAGGAATATGAATAAAATAAACCCAGTGTCTCAGGCACCTCGTGACTGACGTGATAACGAGTCACACATATGGGGTCTCCCCTCATCCACTCGAGGCGTTACCCAACGGGGCAGCTCGGACACTTGCTGAATGGTGTTTAATGAACGGAACCCCTCTCCCAGCAGGAAAAAAGGGGAAAAAAAAAAAAGGAAAAGAAAAGAAAAGAAACTCTACTCACATCATCCACACGCCAGCCGCTATGTTCAGGGGGTTGATAGTGACGCAGTTCCAGAGGCCAGCGAAGGCACAGGCTGGAAAGCAAAGAGGTTTGGAGCAGCCATGGAGAGGAGCCCAGCACATCTGCAGGGACTCGGTGACCATGGCATGGCGGGCAGGACCGTCCCCTTCTCCCAGCTCCGGCACTCGGCACGGTTTCGCCCTCCTGTGTTGATTTGCCCTTGCTTTTAGGTGCAATAACTTAAGTGGCACTCTGAGGAGTTACTGGTTTGTGCCAGCATGAACAAGGAGGTGCTGGTGAGCACCTCCACGAGGAAATAGTTTGGAAAAAACATACCTGCAGCATGGAGCAAACCAAAGCAAACTCAGCTCTCAACCACCCGCTGCAGGCTCTGCCCAACTCTCTCAGGACCAGGCAGAACCCAGAGCTCGTTTTGGTCTCCTTTAGCAGCAACACAAGCGGATACTGGATAAAGCCAGGCCCGAAATAGCTCCAGCACTTCTGAATCCGTAATGAGGGAGAGGAAGCCGCTGGCTGCCTCCACGCCAAGGCCGCGGGCACCTACTTCCTGCCTCATTAAACTTGCAAAATGTTCCCTGCACTTGATACGGGGCCTCGTCCTCCTCGGCGCGGAGCAGCCGGCTGCGGCACTGCGGGAACCCGAGCCGGGAGGAGGCAGGGCCGGGAGGCAGCTCTGGCCACCGTGAACAGCAGCGCGGTGCAATAGCAGAGCACGGCTACTTATTATTACGCTCTATTCTTGCGTAGTTTTAGTGCCTACAGTGGGTCCAGTCTAGGGTCACCTCCCAAGCCAGTGGCATCCTGTTTTTAGGAGACAGCAAACCAAGGTTACTTAATTAGCAGAGTAGCAAAAGCAGCCCTGAAATGCAGCACCTCTGGGGCAAATCGCTGCCTTCCTTGGCAGCGCATTATGAGCAGAGCGACTTGGAGAGCAACAGATCAAACCTGGAGAGGAAGAGTGACATTTCCCAAGTAGATACCCAGGCAACGTAACACTTTAAAAAAAAAAAAAATCTAGTCAATCAAAGTTTTGTTTTGTCAGAGGTTTGGTTTCGGCTTGTCCTCAAAACACCACCCAACCACCCTTGAACACTAAACGTCCTTGAGGGATTCCCAGCCAAGCAATCGGCCGGGTGCCAATGGGCTAATGACCCAGCAAGACTGAGCTGACCAAACCCCACGTCAGCAGGCGGGAGCAGGAGCCCGGCAGCAGGAAGGGAGGCAGAGGTTTATAAACACACAGAGATTGGTGACCTTCAGCCTCCTTCCCAGCACAACAGCCTGGCACAGCCTTGTCCCATGAGGGCAGGATCAGCTCCTGCATCGGGAGCCAAAAGGCACCAGAGCTGACAGCCCAGGGACTTCCTTTTTTCTTGTATTTTTGCAATGTGGATACCTCAGAAAAGGTTTCAAATTCAGACAGTGCTTGATGGCACGTGAGCTATGGAGGACAGACACTTTTGGTGTTTGACTGCTGTCCTGACACTTTAGGCATCGAGCAGCTGGTTGCTCAGTGCAAGTCTGTTTTTGCTCCTGAAGTGTTTTACAAAAGCCAGGGAGTCTCGCTGTCCTTTTACAGAAGGAAACTCAAGGAGAGGAAAATGGACTTGGCCAAGGCCACAAAGCCAATGTGTGCAAGAACCAAAAGAGGTCCCAAACCTTGGCCACCTTGTCCCCTGCTCCAGCCCTTGGAGCCTTCTATCCTAAGCACATTGGGGACTACAGACATCCCAAGCTGTGCAGTTCTCTGCCTCACAAACCTCCCGAGGGGAGATTGCCGGGGCTGCCGAGCAGGTCGTCCAGCTTTCCGGATCACCGGGAGCGCTGCTAAGAATCTGGTTCTTCCCTCTGAAAGTTCCTTCTCCCACACTCACTCCACCATGTAAAACTCTTGGCTTGCCTTTGAAAAAAGTCATGAGTTCTCAAAGCTGTGAACAAAAGGTTGGGAAAATAACCCAAATATAACTGCTGCTTATAATCCTGGAGATAGGGGGGAAAAATATATGTTTTTAAGGAACGGCACTGCTTTTAAGCCACTCTTGAGCTGTTCCAGCACGGGAGGTTAACAGTGCAACCTACCAGCCACCCTCTCCAGCTCTTCACCCTCCATCCCGGGGCTTCGCCCACGTCCCTCCAAGCCGCACATGGGTCGGAGCTATGGAAGAGGCGCCAAGACCCTGGCTGGAGTCGCAGGCCGTGGGAAAGAGGCCGCTCCACAAACCCCTCGTCCGGGCCCCGCGCCGAGCGCCGCAGCTGCTGCCCTGGCCCCCGGCCAGCACCGGAGCAGAGGGCCTGGGCCAAGCACGGTGGGACAGGGACATTTTACCCCTTAAGAGCAGTGCTGAGAAATCCTTTCACACCTCTGGGATTTCAGCAGCTAAAGCTCATGGCAGCGAGAGCAGAGGCCAATTTACCAGCATGTAAACACCGTGGCCTTGCGCAGGCAAGTTCCAGGTGTGGAAAGGGGGCAGGAAGAGGGAGGGATCAAAGGAATCGCCACCGCAAAGGGAATAAATCGGGATGGACCGAACTGGCTGAGAAACTTCTGCTTGTCCTAGCAGCAGTCATGGACCTGGAGCGAAGAAATTCTCCCCCCTGTGCTCTGCAGGTCAGACTAAGTGGTCCAAGAGTCCCTCCTGTTTTTAAGAGCCATGAGTCTCCTTGTATAACAGCACTGTAAGGACACGCTCGTTTCTGTCAACCTTGCAAAGATTTGCCCTGGGAAAAGAAATGGTGGTGGCAGGTAATTCACAGCACAGCTGGCTTTACTGCGTGTTGTCACCCTTCTTCTGCACACCCAACACCAACCTCCTTGAAAACACACAGCACATGAAGCTCATTCTCGTCCTTCAAAAAAAATACAGCAAGGCCTTCTGTCTTTAACAACAGCAAGAGCAAAAAGTGTATCCTGCTATTCAGAAAAGGGAAAGGAAATGTGCTGGACGAGCGCCGATAGACAAATGCAATGAATCAAACCCTGGGGTCTCTGTTGAAGCTCTGCTCCTGACCCTGCTGACCGCCTGGTGCTCCTGAAAAACCCATCATCCAGCTCCTCTGCCGCAGCCCTCCGGGGAGATGGGGTCTGGCCCCTGCCCGGCACGTCCAGCGAGTGTTTAACCCAGGAAGAAACCCCGGGATCAGCAGATGCTCCCCAGGGCCAGCCCTCCTCCCAGGTGCCAAAGTTCAGCCAAGTTCAGTGAGCCCAAAACATGGCCCATATATGCACCTAAACCCACCCTGTCCAGACGAGCCCTGGCTCCCTTCCTTACGTGGCACCTCCACAGCCTGTGCCCGAGTGTCACACAGCCCAAACCATCCCTCCATGCCCCCCCTCCATATATATAACCTTAAAGGCAGGCAGACGTGAACCCCAGCATATGTTTTGGCATGCACAAGGGGAGCCTGGACCTGCAGGGGAAGGGGATACTCACACACGCCCCCGAGGAGCCCGGCCATCCTGCAGAGCCACCTGTACCACCAGGTCATGCCGTCGTCCGCCGAGGCCGGCCGCGGCGCCGGGGCGC